CCCCACGGCCTGGCCCTGCTCATGGTGCCTGCTCAGACAGGCTCAGACCACATAGGACCTCTCCCCCAGGAACATACCGGGCTACCCTGGCCACAGAGTCGCCCAATGGAATTTTCTACAACAATGAAAAAGCCAGTGACTGCTACACACAGCAGTGCAGAGCAATCTCACAAACTAGCACTGGATGAAGAAGCTGAATCAAATAGTATTTATAATCTCATCTACATGAATAGCAAATACTCAAAACTACGAAGACTGAGCTGCCTTTTAGAGGTCAGGCCAGCTTGGGCGGGTCTGGACAGACAGAGGGGCTTCTGGGACTGGCCAGGCCCTTTGTTTTGTTTTTAATCCTCACCAGAGGACATGCTTAGAGAGAGAGGGAGAGAAACATTGATGTGAAAGAGAAACATCGATACGTTGCCTTCCATACATGCCCCAACTGGAGATGGAACCTGCAACCCAGGTATGTGCCCCGACTGAGAATCGAACCGGCAACCATTTGGTGCTCGCCTCGTGGGTGGTTCACGTACCCTGTGCACTTGGCTGTCCTGCGTCAGGCACTGTGGGTCCAGCTGGTCCCTGCATCCCGAACAGGAAGGGCGCTGACCTGTGCTTCTTAAATCCTCGCCACACCTCGTGTGGATCAGTCCATTTTATAGATGAGCAAACTGAGGCTGAAAGTGGCTAAGCCCTGGCCCAAGAGGCCACCACTGGAGAATGGCAGAGCTGTCCTTCGCCTGCAGTCCACCTGCCCCCTCACCCCCCCCCCAAACACGTTTCCCTGATGTGTCTTGGGTTGGCTGTCCCACAGTGTCGCGTTTCTCCAGCCCACGGGTGACGCCCCGCCTGAGCCGCAAGCGGGCGCTGTCCATCTCCCCGCTGTCGGATGCCAGCCTGGACCTGCAGCGGATGATCCGGACCTCCCCCAACTCGCTGGTGGCCTACATCAACAACTCGCGCAGCAGCTCCGCCGCCAGCGGCTCCTACGGGCACCTGTCGGCGGGCACCCTCAGGTGAGCCCAGCCGGCAAGCGGAGGGCTGAGAGTTGGGAGCTGGACTGGGGACCAAGTAGGGAGGGTCAGCGCTTTCACCAGAGAAGAAAGACAGGACTTCATGCCCCAAACACAATGTCTGGCGGGCCTGTCCTGAAAGATTCGGTCCCGAAGTCAAAGGTGACATTCCTAGTATTTAAGGGAGTGCCATGGGGCAGCCAGGTCCCAGATGCGCTTGGGGGCACACAGGGTGAGTGACACTGACCGGGGCCATGCAAGGGAGTCCCTGGCTGGCAGCAGGCTCCCACGTGGCCACTGCATGGCACACCCCACCCTCATCAACGCCACTAGCCCAGCCCCTCTGTTTGAGGACGCGGCTGACAGACACCATGTGCTCCCCTTGCGCATCCGAGAGGCCAGAGGTGTTAGGACTGCTGGGAGCGCTCGGCCCAGGACGCAGGAGTAGAAGTGGTAACAGACATCCGCTGTCTCTGCTGCACAGTAGATTCCTTCGAAACTCGGCGGCTTAAACAGCAGGCATTTGTCATCTCTGAGGGTCAGGGTGTGAGCTGGCTTAGCTTCGGTCCCGTGAGGCTGCCAGCTGTGGCTGCGGTCACCTGAGGATGATGGGGCCCGGGCCTCGTTTCCAGGAGGCCCACACCTCTCTGGACACGGCCACTGATCCCCGCCCTCCATCGGGGTGGGATCTGAGGGAGAGCAGGGGGGGAGCCACAGCTCCTTACACTCAGCCTGGGCCACCTTCTCCCTTCAGTGGACTCTTCTGGAAAGAGGCTAGTGCAAGTGGCCGTGTAGACCCAAGTGCAGTACACGGAGAAGAGGGGGCTGTGCCCCGGAGGGCTCAGGGCTCACTTCCTGGACGAGGGCTTTAGAACGGCTTCGGAGGCCAAGTGGGGCTCAGAGAGAGCAGGGGTGCACCCCGCGCCAGAGCCGTGAAGGGCCAGGGTGGGGTGGGACGGAATCTGGGGGCCAACCTGCCAGGGTGAAGGCTGCCCCTGGGACCGGGTCTGGAGACTAAGCCTGGGATGGCACAGTGGAGAGCCACTGCTGGTTCGGAGGGAGGCAGAGCCGTGTGATGGTGAGGCGAGCACATGCCCGTCCGAGCCCTGGGCAAGGCCTTCTCTGCCCAGGAAGTACTGGCCTAGCAGAGGCCTGGTCCCCCCTCCCTCTCCTCCGCTCCACCACCTCTCTGCTCTTCTCTGCAGCCCAGCCTTCACCTTCCCCCATCCCATCAACCCCGTGGCCTACCAGCAGATCCTGAGCCAGCAGAGGGGCCTGGGCTCGGCCTTCGGACACACACCGCCACTGATCCAGCCCTCCCCCACCTTCCTGGCCCAGCAGCCCATGGCCCTCACCTCCATCAGCACCACGCCCACCCAGCTCAGCAGCAGCAGCAACTGTCTGAACGACGCCAGCCAGGTAGGCGGGTGCAGGGCGCGGAGTGGGCCAACTGATGCTCCGACTCCACGAGGGCTGGCGGTCCCCATCTCACACTGGCCACGTGCAGGAGGACTCGGGGTGCAGGTGTGGCTCGGGTGCCTTCTGTGGAGAGGCCACGGGATTGAAAGGCCTGGGCTGGATGAGGCTGGATGAGGCCTGGGAGGGGTCCTGACACCGCGCCCACTCCTGTGGGCAGCGCCTGGCCTCAGTTCTGATGTCGCCTGCGCAGTAGACAGCTAAGTAGATGGGGAAACCTAGAATTCAGTCAGCACAGTGTAGGTGCTCCGTGCCCAGAATATGAAATGGATTAATGAATAGTAATACCGTGCAGTTTAGTTTTGGAGCATGGATTCACCAAAGACCTTCTTTTTTAAAAAATTCTTTAATTTTATGTTTTCATTGCAGTTCACATTCAATATTATTTTGTATTAATTTTGGGTGTACAGCATAGTGGTGAGGTAATCATATACTTTATAAAGTGACCCCCAATATTTCCAGCGCCCTCCTGGCGCCCACATAGTTATTACAATGTCACTGACTATATTCCCTGTGCTGTGCGGTACATCCCCGTGAACCCCTGCTTCTCAGTCCCTCCCCCTTTTCACCCAGCCCTCCGAGCCCCCTTCCCAGAGAGAGGCCTCTGTTCCGCTGCCGTGGACGTGGCGCGAGCTGCTGGCAGGCCGTCCAGGCTCTCTCCTGGCCGTGCCCCTGCCTGGAAGGACTCAGTTTCTCCCACTCCGAACACAAGGGTTGGCCCGGATAGGCTGTGTGCAGACGGTCCGGAGGTTTGGGGTGTCCTCCCTGACCCTGTGACAGGCTCTCCTCTGCACCCCTTCAGAGCAAGCAGAACAGCGAGTCGGCTGTGAGCAGCACCGTCAACCCCATCGTCATCCATAAGCGCAGCAAGGTCAAGACGGAGGCCGAGGGCCTGCAGCCAGCCTCCCCGGTCACCCTGACGCAGGTAACCTGCCCGCCACTCTCACGTCTCCAGGCTGGGCCCGGCCTCATCCGCGGGGTCAGCAGCCTTGGGGCTGAGCTCCTGCTGGTGAAGGATGAGCAGGTGGCTGCCTGCATGAACCAATGAGCAAATGACTGAGCCAGGATGGGCGGGGCAGACGGTCCTGAGCTCAGGGAGGACCAGAGCTGTGTCCCCAGCACCCTGCACCTTACAGGCTCCTCAGACACACCCTGAATTGCCGGGCGGGAGTGACTGGGCTGGTTGAGTGTCATCCCATGCACGGAAAGGTTGCTGGTTCGATTCCCCGTCAGGGTACATACCTGGATTTCAGGTTCAATCCCCGGTTGGGGCTAGTATGGGAGGCAACCAGTGTTTCTCTCTCTTCTTCTCTCCCCCTTCCTCTCTGTAACATGTCAACAGAATGAGTGAATGGATGCTATGGGGCTGCAGCTGTCTCGCCCCCACTACTCCCCTCACCCTCATGCAGCACAAGCCCGAGGTGCTCATGTCCCTGATGGCTCAGGCTCCTGTCCAGAGGCTCCCTCCCCCTGGAGCCCTGCCCCTTCACTGCCACTTCAGCCCCTCCTGACCCTCCTGCAGAGCTAGGAGCCCTGCCTGGCCCGGGTCATTGCTGCCTCCTGCACTGCACCGGGCGCTGTGGGGAGGGGGCCCTCTAGGGAAGGGTCTGGTTTGGTTCCAGGCCATCAGGGTTTACACCGGGCCTGGTGCACGATAACTGTGAAATCTAGTTTCCAAGGACTCCATGCACATGTGAGGGAATGAGTGTGTGGTGACGGGGAAGGACAGGGAAGGTGAGGGACGGAGCGCCCCACAGCCAGGGTGGTCCTGCGGGGCTGAGACCCTGTGCAGGTCCCTCAGGAGTCCCTGCCTCCTGGCCCAACATCCGAGAGGACAGGCAGACAGTCCAGCTCCTGCAGCAGAGGCTGTGGGGGAAGGGCTTGGGGTGAGTGCTGGCCGCGCAGACGAGCCTCCCACCGTCTCTCACGGTGGCCTGGCCTCCATCCGTTACTGCCCTGTCACAGCGCTGACACCGGCGGTGCTCAGGCCTCCTGTCCCTGCCTCCCTGCCTCTGTCACACCATCCTTTATCAGACTGCGAGCCATTGGGCATGCTCGGGGCACTTAATTTTTATGAAATATTGGGTTCTGTTACTGTCAGGCAGACAGAGGGGCTTGTGACAAATGCTTCTCCCCTCGCCGACGCCAAAGCCTCTTAGTGTGATGCGTGGCTTCCGTGGGGCGGCCCTCATCGGGCGGTGGGGATGGATGAGGGCGGCGCACGTCCTGGGGAGAGCAGCACGGGAGCAGCGAGGACGGTGGAGGCCACACTGAGCACAGGGAGCTCCCCCTCCCCCGTCCCGTCCAGCTCCGGGCCCCGTATGCCCTCCTGCCTGCCCAGCTGGGCTCCTCATTTGTGTCAGGAGAAGGAGAGCCATTTATCATGAGGAGGTTGTCACCATGTCACTCTGTCCTGATTCAGTGACCCGGCTCCTGCAAGGTGGGTGGGCATGCCCTCCCTTGGCACAAAATGAAGCCCAGCTTCCCTCCCTGCCTCAGCCTCAAACCTGTGGGCTAGGAAGACACCCAGCGCGCCCTGGGGGCCGGGGGCACCGCCGCCCCGCCATCCCCGTCCCCACACGCCTGTCCCCGCAGCCTCTTCCCTGAATCAGCAGAGCATGCAGTCCGGGGCCAGGTCTCCTGCAAGGGTGAGGGCGGAGCGGGCACGCGGTCCCCCTTTCTAAGGAGGCAGGCATGTGCCCTGGAGCTGCCGGGGGACTTCTTGCACTACACCTCGTTTTCCTCTTCAGAGCGCGTGCATTGAACACGTGTGTTGATTGGAAGGTGCGTTCACAAACAACCGAGGGCGGCCAGGAGGGCGGGTCCCCGGCCGCAGGGGCCGGGGTGCTGATGTCACCCCTCGCCACAGATCAGTGTGAGGAGTGAGGCTGAGTGTCTGGAGTCTGTGGGGACCCTTGACTGGGGAGATGTCTCCCCCTCAGCCCGAGCTGTAATGTTTGCCCCAGAGGCTGCTCTGGTTTGAACATCTGTGCCGGTGGTAGGTAGTCTGAACGGGAAGCAGGTCATCCTGGCGTCGGCTCTGCCTGGCGCTGCTCGGGGCGGGCCCGGCAGGCGGCCCGTGGAACGTCGGGAGGCAGCGGAGCCGGGAGCCCTTGACGTCCTCGGCAGCTCCTCCTGGGCCTTCCTCCCGCCCGGGGCCCGGGTGCCTCCCTTCCACCAGCTCCCGTTCCCTCCCAGGCGGTGGTGCCGATTTATGCTCAGTCTATTGCTGGTTTTGGAGTCAAACATGTTGTCCCCTTTGAATTGAAGCACCTGTGACTGGGTGGAGGCCTGTCACCTTGAAATGGGCACGTGTGGGCTCCATGCAGGGGGGAGGGGGGGCCGGAGTCCAAGTCCAGGCCTCCACACTCGCTGTGTGTCTGGGAGGACGAGGAGCCCGCCGAGCCTCCTTTCTGGCTGCAGCGCGGGAAGAAAGCCCCCATTGCAGGCTGTTCCACGGATCCGCTGCTGGGAAGACGTGCGAACACGTTCACTCAGCCACGCGCTGTCCTGGGTTCGAATCCAGGTGTGCTGGGTGCCTGGGAGGAGAAGACAGTATGAAAGTGAGAGGTCTGGAGGGCCAGGCCAGATGCCTGTTGGGTTTCTCTTGCCTCGGTGGAGAGCAGACCCTGTGACTAAAATGCCCCACCCCAGGGCCTGTGAGCCCACCAGGCTCCTCACAGGGGAAACCAAGCTAAACAGCAAAGCCACTGCCTGCTCGCTCCAGCTCTCCTCGCCATGTCAGTTGACTCAGGATGTGGCGAGATGCGTTGGTGATGACAAGTTGGCATCGAGAGGAGGGAGGGGCCCAGGACGGCTGTGTAACAGGAGAATGATGAGTAGGAGCCCGCTGAGGAGGGGCTGGGAAAGCCAGCCCCTGTGTGTGCGCGTGCCTGTGTGTGCACCTGCACAGCCCGGGGCCTGGGCACAGGCTGTGCAGAGCTGACGGCAGCCTCTAGGCAGGGCTGGCTGCTGGACGAGGCTCAGGGGTGTGCTCTGCTCCTCCGCAGGAGCAGCTGGCCGACCTCAAGGAAGACCTGGACAGGGACGACTGCAAGCAGGAGGCGGAGGTGGTCATCTACGAGACCAACTGCCACTGGGAGGACTGCACCAAGGAGTATGACACGCAGGAGCAGCTGGTGCATGTAAGCCTTCCGGCCCCGTCACCCGGCGGGGGCACGGCCTGGGCCCAGGGAGCCTGCAGCCTGCCAGGCCCCAGACAGAGGAGGGGATGGAGGAGGAGGCTCCAGGGGTGCCATGTCCTCACAAGTGGGCAGCATGATTCCTTATCCAGGCCTGTGTCTAAGAGGGGGCTTACAGATACATATGCAGTACAAGAGATTAGAAGAAAAACAAGGAAACAGGACAATTCAGGGGAAATGAGCAATAAAAGGGAGTCAGAAGTCCAGTTAGTATGCAAAGCCAAGTCCTCTGAGCTGTAGCTCATAGGTGAACCCTTTTCCTGAGCGTCCTGATAACCAAGGCAGAGAGGGCAGTGAGGCCAGCTAAGCCGGCCGGCATGGCAGAGTAAGAGCAATCCTGACCCCGAAAACTGAAGGAAGTTCCTCCCGTGGAGGACGGAGTTGGCCATTTCCGCTTGGAGGCAGTGCTTAGTGATCCGCACAGGTGCAGGTGGCTGTCCCCGCCCGATCAGGGGGCTTCGTGAACATGCCTGGTACTGGCAGGTCAGCAGGCCAGAGAAGACCTCCTGATCTGGGTGCCCGTCAGGGTGCGCCCTCGCCTTGGTCCCCACCGTAAGCTCTTCGATGGCGGCACCTGCTGTGGCGGCTGCGGGGTCGTTTGTGCAGTGGGAGGAACAGGCGTGGGGCTCAGCGTGGAGGCACAGGCTTCAAACCACAGGCAGCGAGTCGAAACAGGTGAGAACAGGCCACTCAACCTCCGTGAGCCGCAGAGTTCCTCCCGTGTGGGGTGAGTCCTACTCCACAGGGGTGTGGAGATGGAATATGACCCCAGCGTAAACACTTAGCAGAGAGCGCAGCCCATGCCTGGTCGCCACACCAGCCCCGAGTGCCTCTCTTCTCCACCCAGAAGAGAACTTAAATTCAAGAACAAGCCCCCACACCCCGTCCCTGCACATGCTCCTGGTGAATGAGTGTCTGTAAAGATGAGCACCACACTAAACTAGCAGTGGGGAGGGGGGGGCGCGCACACATGCACGCACACACACATACACACGCGTGCCCACACTGCACATGCACACGCACATGCACACGCGTGCCCGCACTGCACATGCACATGCACATGCACATGCGTGCCCGCACTGCACATGCACACGCACATGCACATGCGTGCCCGCACTGCTCACACCCAGGAGCCACCCCGAGCGAGCGTCCTTCTCCCCAGCGCTGGCAGCTCAGGTTGAGAGCACCGCCCACCCCTCCGCTTCCTCCGTCTGTGCCACAGTTGCTGTCCAGTGCTGTGGGCTTCTCTTGTGTGTGGGTTTTTCCTCCCACATGCCCATCCAGGAGACACATGTCCTAGCGGACCATCCCCCAGCTGGCGTGGAACCTGTGAGGCAGGGTCTTGTCTATACGCTTTGCGTCAGGAGTCCGAGGTGGAGAAGGGACGTGGGAGCTGAGTTATGGGACAGATCAGATTCGATCGGAGGAAGAAGGGGCGGCATCTGGGCCAGGCAGGGGCCGGGCAGAGTGAGACCAGGATGACAAGATGCGCTCAGTAATGAGTGAGTTGGCCCCAAGGAGCAGGGAGGGATTCCTCAAAGGAAGGCAGAGGGGTCCGGGCGGGAAGGGGGGCTCCCGCTACAGGCTCCCGTCTGTGCCTGGGCTGTCCCTGCGGCTGTGGGTGTGCGCCTCTGCCGGCCCCGGAAGAGCCAGCCCCTGGGAGAGGGAGCCGGCGCAGCACCAGCTCCGTCTGCTTCCCGGGAAGATGGATGGCGGCAGGCTCACGGGCGGCTGGAGCCCTCAGTCGATGATGAACAATTTGTTGCTAAGTAAACCAATAAGAAAAACTGAACGGCATTGTCAGGGCACACTCCCATCATTCGGAAGCCTTTAAAAATGGGAAGTGAGGCTAATAGAGAAGGTTCCCCGGGAAGCTCAAGGTGCTGTAGGTTTTAGTTGCAGCCACGCTGGCGTTTGCGTGCCCGCCAGTGGGGCCTGCACTCAGGCACGAGGCCTCGGCGTCCAGCTCGGACAGCCTTGCGGGTTCAAAGGTCCACAGCAGCATCGCCAGGAGAAGACTGCAGGCCACGAAGGCCACCCGCGTCACTTTATATTATGTAGGAGCACGCGTACGAGTGAAAGGAAACAGGTGACATTCGTTTCAATGATACATTTTATTTAACCCAGTATATCTAAGAGATTATCATTTCAACATGTAATCAGTATAAAACAAAATATTGGAACATTTGACATCCCTTATTTTTTCACTGTGTTTGAAACAGGTGTGTTACACTTACAGCCCCTCCCAGCTGGGAGCAGCCACATTTCAGGGGCTCAGAGCACAAGTGGGGAGGGACTGGCACACTGGGCAGTGTGGGTCTAGGAGAGGCTGAAGGAGGGGATGAAAGCGAGTGGGAGCTGAGAACGAAAGAAGAGAGGGGCTGGGGCTGGAGAGGAGGGACTGCAGGACCTGATGTTCCACACACCCCCTCCCCGGGGAGGTAGGCCCAGCCTGACTGGCATACAGCAGGACAGGCCTGGAGCCAAGGGCGAGGAAGGGGAGGATGGGACCTGCGCTCCCTGCTTTAGAGAGAAGCCCCAGTGGGAGGGAGCAAGGAGCAGTGTCCTCTGCACCACTGTGTGAGCCTCCACCACCACCTCTTTCCACCCCAGGTAGACCCACAGCCCAAAATGGGGACATGAAAGTCCCGGGGGCACCACCCACATGTCCACACGGCCCAGCTCAGAGGCAGTGAGTGACACGCCTGCTTCAGGGAGGACTGAGCTCAGGGGCAGTGAGTGATATGCCTGCTTCAGGGAGGACTGAGCTCAGGGGCAGTGAGTGACACGCTTGCCTCAGGGAGGACTGAGCTCAGGGGCAGTGAGTGATACGCCTGCTTCAGGGAGGACTGAGCTCAGAGGCAGTGAGTGACACGCTTGCTTCAGGGAGGACTGAGCTCAGGGGCAGTGAGTGACACGCCTGCTTCAGGGAGGACTGAGCTCAGGACTAGATAATCAAAGCAGGTGACTGAAACCCCGGCGTCTGCCCAGGCCCGCGTGCTGTTACCTGAGACAGAAAGCCTCTGGGCCCGAGGCACCATGTACAGGAGAAACCACGCGGGGCGCCATGCAGATGGTGAGGCCAGGGCAGATGCCACGTGTGGGCGTAGGGCCCGGGAGGCAGGAAAGTCAGCCCTGTTCCTGCCCAGACCAGTGCTGACCAAGCCAGTCTGAGGACCACCCGCCCAGGGTGGCTGCTTGCCTCGCTCTGCCCCATTCGCCCCAGTGGGCCGCGAGCTGACTAGCAGGGTCCCAGTGCCATGCTGCTCACCAGTCACACGGTCACTGGCAGCTCTGCTCCCCCCTCTCGGGCTGTGCTGTGCCATGGACAGTGCCACACGGTCCCAGGGTCCTCCGCGGGGGTCAGTCCCTGCAGCCACGAACAGGCTGAGCCTCTGTGCAAAGGGACAAAGCCGCCATCTTACGGGTTATCACAGATGAGACAGGACGCAATGACGTTTCCATTATAACAGAAACTTAATGTAAACACCCGGAACAACAGGGGCAAGCTCAGAGAGGCTTCTCAGGCACCCTGTCTGCCTCGCTGCAGGTAATTAGTGCCCACTGTGTGCAGCGCAGCCGGGAGCATCGTCATGGCCACCAGTCCTCCGAGGACTGGAGCCCGGAGCCCCGTCTGGGGTGAGCGGGGCGCCTTTGACCATCTGAGATGGTCGCTTTGATGACTAATTGGGAAATACAGCCGAGACATTAGCACACAGTATGTCTTCACTTGGTGGCCACTAACCACAGGAGGAGGGTGAGCCGGCAGAGTGGGCGGTGGTCTGTGGGGGTGGCCTGCGCTCACCAGGGGGTCCGAGGCGCTGGCCGGGCTCACCCCCTTCGGGGCTTGTTCCGGCAGCACATCAACAACGAGCACATCCACGGGGAGAAGAAGGAGTTCGTGTGCCGCTGGCAGGCCTGCACGCGGGAGCAGAAGCCCTTCAAGGCGCAGTACATGCTGGTGGTGCACATGCGCCGGCACACGGGCGAGAAGCCGCACAAGTGCACGGTGAGTGCGCCCTCCTCGCCCTCCCGCAGCCGCGCGGGGCGGCCCCAGCGGCTCTGAGCCGGGCTGAGCCCAGGGTCGGGCTGTTCGGTCTGCTCCTGCCCTGGGCCTTCTGCCTGTCTCGGTCCTTGAGGCCCCGCGCCTGCCTGTCGTCCAGAACTCAGTTCTCGCTCAGGGTGTACTGCAGTAGGAGTGTGACTGCCACCCTCCCAGCACAGCTGGCCCCACACTTCTCATGTCTTCTCGTGTTTTGGTGACCCACGCAGGCGCTGGCTGGGCAGCACCTGCAGCCTGTGCCCTGCGCAGAGGAAAGCTTCACTGGGCATCACGGCTTGAGCCATGAGGGGTAAAATCTCTGTTTTTTTAAGTGAACACAAATAGAAGCCCTCTCAGACGGCCTCCCTTATGGAGTGACGGACCTGGGATGATGATCGGTAAGGCCTTTTTCACACACAGAAATCGGTCTCTCGTGAAAGGGGAGTAGGCCCAGTGAGGCGCTGATGGCTGCAGCCGAAACCTTGGGAAGCATCTCTTCATGACTTGCCCTGTTTCATGGATTCCAAGATGTGCATTTTATTCTCATTTTACTGCCTCGAGATCGGGCTGTCTTAAGATTGGTGCTGCCCAGGATTCAATGAACTATGTTACCTCTGTTAGCAAGTTTTTCATTGAAATAAGATTCACATACTATAAAGTTTATCATCGTTTAACAAGGTGCAATTTCTGTGATGTTTAGTATATTCACAAGTTGTGAATTACTAGCTAATTCCAGAACATTTTCATCACCCCAATCAGAGCCACATACCTGTGAGCAGTCACTTCCTGCTCTCTCTTCCCCGACTCCCTGAGAGCCACTGATCCGCCCTCCCCCTGAGCTGGCCTGCTGCACAGTCAGTAGAAGTGAGACCGCGCAGTGTGAGCCCTCGGCCTGGCCTCTTCGCCTAGCCTGTTCTTAAGGCTCACCCGTGGTGCAGCGTGTATCAGCACTTCACTCCTTCACGTCGTGGCTAAATGGTATTCCGTTGTATGGATAGGTGCTAGTTTTCTAGCCCGTTCATCGGTTGACGGATACGTTCACTGCTTTTACTCTTTGGCTATCATGAACATGCTGCTGTGAGCACTTGTGCACAAGTTTCTGTGCGGACCTACTTTCAGTTCTCGTGTACATGCTAGAGCAGAATTGCTGGGTCATGTGGGAGCTCTTATTTTAACTTTTTGAGGACCAGCCGGACTGATTTCCAGAGAGGCTGCTGCACTGCTCACCTCCCCGCCAGCCGTGCGCAGGGTTGGTTTCTCCGCGTCTTGCCGGCGTGAGTTACCCGTCCTCTGATTCCCGCCATCACGGTGGACTGCGGGGGCATGACGCTGTGGTTCTGACTCGTGTTTGCCTGAGGACTGATGAAGTTCAGTGTCTGCTCATGTGATTACTGGCCTCTTCATATATCTTTTCTGGAGAAATGTCTACTCAAATATTTTGCCCATTTTTAAATTATTTGTCGTTTTATTGCAAAGTGGTAGTAGTTCTCCTAGGCCTTATGATTAGCCAATATTTTCTCCCATCCCGTGGGTTTTCTTTCCATTTTCTTGATAGTGTCCTTTGAAGCACAAAGTTCTGAGTTCCGACAACCTGCTTTGCCCCACCTGTGTCTAGTTGTATAGGGCAGCACCTCCTTGTAGGTCTTAGTCCATTTTGAGTTCACTTTTGTATTCGGCGTGAGGGACGGTCCCACTCCCTTCTTTCGCACGTGGCTCAGCCGTTGTCCCGTCCCGTTTGTCGGAGAGGCTGTTCGTCCCCTCGGCCGGCCTTGGCGCCCTTGCTGACCATCAGATGGCCCTGAGCACAGGAGCTCGTTTCTGAGCTCTCACTGCCCCTGCGTTGATCTCTGTGTCCTGGCCAGGACCACCGTCAGGTTATCGTCGTTTTACAGTAAGTTTTGAGGTTGGGAAGTGTCAGTCCTCAAATTAGCCCTCCTTTTGTAAGACTGTTGGCTCTTCTGGGTCCTTTGCAGGAAGTTATTTTCTGAGCCTTAGTCCTCCGCCCTGAGCCCTGAGCCGCAGGAACAGATCAAAGGCCTTTGGGCCGCCTGTGCTCAGTCAGTCGGAAATAAGGGGGGTGGGGGGCCAGGCGGGGGGAATGAGACAGTGCCTGCTGGTTTCCCTGTCATTCTGAGGTCAGTTCTCACACGTACATTGGATGCTGCTGCAGGATCTAAGTGTACACTCCTGGTCCCCCAACCCCCCCTCCCTCCCTGCCACCTCACTCACTCCTTCCTTCCATCCTTCCTTCCCTCCTACCTACCTCCCCTCCCTCCTTCCCTCCTTCCCTCCTTCCTTCCTTCCTTCCTTCCCTCCTACCTACCTCCCCTCCCTCCTTCCCTCCTTCCCTCCTTCCTTCCTTCCTTCCTTCCCTCCTACCTACCTCCCCTCCCTCCTTCCCTCCTTCCCTCCTTCCTTCCTTCCTTCCTTCCCTCCTACCTACCTCCCCTCCCTCCTTCCCTCCTTCCCTCCTTCCTTCCTTCCTTCCTTCCCTCCTACCTACCTCCCCTCCCTCCTTCCCTCCTTCCCTCCTTCCTTCCTTCCTTCCTTCCCTCCTACCTACCTCCCCTCCCTCCTTCCCTCCTTCCCTCCTTCCTTCCTTCCTTCCTTCCCTCCTACCTACCTCCCCTCCCTCCTTCCCTCCTTCCCTCCTTCCTTCCTTCCTTCCTTCCCTCCTACCTACCTCCCCTCCCTCCTTCCCTCCTTCCCTCCTTCCTTCCTTCCTTCCTTCCCTCCTACCTACCTCCCCTCCCTCCTTCCCTCCTTCCCTCCTTCCTTCCTTCCTTCCTTCCCTCCTACCTACCTCCCCTCCCTCCTTCCCTCCTTCCCTCCTTCCTTCCTTCCTTCCTTCCCTCCTACCTACCTCCCCTCCCTCCTTCCCTCCTTCCCTCCTTCCTTCCTTCCTTCCTTCCCTCCTACCTACCTCCCCTCCCTCCTTCCCTCCTTCCCTCCTTCCTTCCTTCCTTCCTTCCCTCCTACCTACCTCCCCTCCCTCCTTCCCTCCCTCCCTCCTTCCTTCCTTCCTTCCCGAGGTGTTCCTTTCATCTGGCACTAAGTACTAGGGACGCAGAAATGAACAAGCCCTAAAAGGAAGCTGCGGTCGTGCAGCATGTACCCTAGTGGGGAGCCAGGTCACAGAGCGATTAAGATCATTCCAAATTGTGTGAGGGAGCTTAAATGGGGAGGGTGGTTAGCATGATTAAGAATGTCAGAGAAGTGCTCGCAGGGATGACCTACAAGTCGGAGAGGCAGTGAGCCAGGCCAGGGCCGGGGGGCGGGGCTGGGGGAGAGGGTTTGGCCAAAGGGGACTGTGTGCCAGGGCCCAGCCTGGAAGAAGAGTGGGCTCAAGGACCTGAGGAGATCGAGGTGGCCAGAGCGAGGGCGAGGCCACGAGGACTCTGGAGTTTATTCTCAGCACATTCGAAGCACAGAACAGTTCCAATCAGGGAGGGGCATTGGGAAATAATTAAAAATAACATTTGAAAGAGTTTTTGCTGATGGTCTCACAATGTGCTGTTGGTTTTAACAAGCAGGAAACATAACTAAGTAATGCCACATTCCTGATTTTGGTTTAAAAAAGGATGTCTGCAGTGCCAGCAGAATGAGACGTCGCTGGGGTCGGCGGGCTGTCCCTGGCGGGCAGCGCTGTCATCCCTCTGTACGTCTCAGTCCCGGCCAAGTTTCCCAGAAATGCCAGGTGTCAGTTCCCTAATCAGAAGGGAGGGTAGGTGTTACTGCTGAGCTGACGCTCCTGGCTGCACTGCGGGGTGGAGCAGACAGGGCTGGGAGCATGTCTGGCCCAAGGCCAGGCTCCCGCGTTGGGTCCGGGGCGCCCTCACTCACCAAACCCACCTCTTCCCAGTTCGAGGGCTGCTCCAAGGCCTACTCGCGCCTGGAGAACCTGAAGACGCACCTGCGGTCCCACACCGGGGAGAAGCCATATGTGTGCGAGCACGAGGGCTGCAACAAGGCCTTCTCCAACGCTTCGGACCGCGCCAAGCACCAGAACCGCACCCACTCCAACGAGGTACGCCAGCTGCTCCGGCCCCGCGGGCACACAGGCACACGCATCGCCCTGTGTCCTCTAGACGCCTGGAGGCCAGGTGCCAGGGGCCCTCTCCCCACCGAGCTCTGTCAGCTCAGCACACAGGGCCTGGGCAGCTGGTGAGGCCAGGCCTACCCGCTAGTGCTGCCAGTCCCGCTTGGCCTGTGAGGGACACGGGGCAGCCTTTGTCTCCCCCAGGAGCCAGAGCCCTGGCGGGGCTGAGAGCCCTGGGAGGGAAGTGGGCGGGGACCCATGGCGTCCGCTCTGCCCACCTCCCAGGCCCTGCCCTGCTGATCAAATGCTGTCACTCAGGGAGACTTCGGAAAGAACATTTCTAAAAGCTTAGATACATTTTTTTAAATACATTTTTATTGATTTTAGAGAGGAAGGGAGAGGGAGAGAGAGAGAAACATCAATGATGAGAGAGAATCATTGATTGGTTGGTTCCTGCACGCCCCCTACTGGGGATGGAACCCGCAACTCGGGCACGTGGCCTGACCGGGAATTGAACACGAAATCCTTCAGTCCATGGGCTGTTGCTCTATCCACTGAACCAAAACAGCTAGGGCTTAGATACATTTTGAACCCCTAAGGGACTTGCTCCAATGCTTGTAAGAAGTTAAAGGACTTCCCAGAGGTATCTGAACCCCTCAGTCTCTACAGATGAGCTGGCCTTGAAGAGGGGTGTGTGCCTGTGTGTGCCTGTGTGTTAATACGGGTATGCATGTGGGTGTGGTTGTACATGTGTATGCATTATGTGTGGGGAAGGATGTGGGTGTGAATTTGTAAGTATGTACACATGTAGGTATGTGTGTGTGCTTTATATGTAGATGTGCATGTCAATGTGTTTGTAAGCATGTGTACTCCTGCATGTGTATATGTGTGTGCCTGTATTTATTGGGTATGTGCCTGCATGTAGACATGTGTGTACACATATAAATGTGCATGTATGTATGTGGGTGTAGCATGTGCATGTATATGAGCTCAGGACTGAGGTTCAGAAACCCTGGTTTTCATCCCATGGCCGGGCAGCTTTGAGCCAGTTCCTCTGCCTCTGACCCGTCTTCTCCTCCTCAGGGAGCCTGGGCTCCAGCGCTGCCTCATGGGCACCGGGAAGTGTCACCCTCACTCCTGATGTCCAAAGTCCCGCGCCCTGGTCAGGGAGGCGGGATGGTCACGCCAGGCTCTGTCCCCTCCCTCCAGCCTCTGATCTCTGTCCCCAGGTGTGGCGGGGGCTCCCTTAGCCACATGATCACCTGCCGGAAACATGCACACAGGCTGGCAGGGCGTGCCCCTTCCATCAGATGGCATGGCGGCAAATGGGGCGCGCCTTCCAGCGGTAGCAGCCAGGCTCTGCCACGGGAGGCGGCATGGCTTCCAGAGGGGCGTGCGCCCATGCCGAGTGCCTTCGTGGCCCGTAACGCCGCCTGCTTCTCTCCCAGAAACCCTACATCTGCAAGATCCCAGGCTGCACCAAGCGCTACACGGACCCCAGCTCTCTCCGGAAGCACGTGAAAACCGTGCACGGCCCAGACGCTCATGTCACCAAGAAGCAGCGCAACGACGTGCACCTCCGCGCCCTGTTGCTCAAGGAGAACGGGGACCCTGAGGCCGGCACTGAGCCCGGCGGCCAGCGCTCCGAGGAGAGCGCCGAGGCCAGCAGCACCAGCCAGTCCGCTGAGGACTGCCTGCACGTCAAAGCCATCAAGACCGAGAGCTCCGGGGTAAGCAGAGTGGGCAGTGGCGGCCCCGGCCCCCAGGAAGCCACGCCCAGCAGGCCAGGCCCATTCCAGAGCACCGCCTGGGGTCCAGTGCCCCACCTGCAGCTGGGGGCCCTCCCAGGCCCTCTCTCTAAGCACCCCACGTGCTTTCTCCAGCTCGGCTCTTCTCCCTTCACCGCCCTGGGCCTCACAGAAGCTCTGTGGCAGGTCCCGTGGTGCTGGGCAGGCTGTGGGCGATGGAGTGCCTGCCCCCATGTGGCCAGTCTGCGAGGGGCGGAGTGGCTGCCGGTGTCTCCTTCTAACCAGCACCAGAGCCGCCTCGGGCTGCCTGCCCGCTGTCCTGTCTGCATCCTAACCCCTCGGGCCTCCACTCCTTTCGTTCTAACCACCTGTTCTTTGTCTCCGCCTCTTTTCCCCGACTGTACCTCCCCAAGGATAGACGGTACTGAGGTGAGCCTGAGGGCGGGGCGGGCTGGCGTGAGTGAGGGTGGGCTGGGGCTTGTCCAGGGGAAGGCGGGTTTGGATAGGTAGACGGCAGGTAGGACCCTGGAACAGGCAAGGCTGGCAGCAAGAGTCAAGCTGACAGGCCCAGGAGCAGGCAGTGGGGACCTCCCCGCATGAGGGACAGGCAGAGTGGAGGTGGGTGAGGGCTGCAGCGGACAGGACTGACCTACAGAAGGTGCAGAGTGAGCTGAGGACCCTGGGTGGTGCCTGGACAGGATGGAGCTTTGCCGCTTCCCGAAGAAAAGTGTGGAATTTGGGGGCAATCAGTCTAGAAATGAGCCCAGAGGTGCTCCTCCAGCGTCAGCCTCGCTGGGGCTCAGGTCCGGGTTCCGTGGGTTCTGCACTGTCATGCGCCATGGGCTCCCAGCCCCTCTGCCCCAGCCCAGCGCGAGGGCTGCTGGGATGGCCCTTGGACAGCCCCCTCCCGCCTGTCCTTCCCTTCCGAACACGCTCCCCGCGGCCTGCTGAGAAGGCAGCCGCAGCGCTCCTTGCCCCTTCCTTCATCGTGCACATCGCGGGTGTTGGGAATGTTCAAGTGCCTTTCATGTCAGCCTCACGCGGCTGCGGCTGCTTCTGTGGGCACAGCTTCAAGGTGTCCACCTGTTGACGGCTCGCCAGCTCCGAGTGGGGTGGGGCGGGCTGGCATGAGTGAGGGTGGGCTGAGCAGGGACGGTGCGGGGCAGGGCGGCTGACAGTTACTGGTGTCCTCTCCATGCCGATGCATCCCTTGCACCCACCAACTCTGTCCTGAAGGCAGTTCAGGCCCATCTTGTAGTTGGGGAGGCCGAGGTTCAGAGAAGATATTCGAACGGTCCTCACAGGGCAGCTTCCTTCCTGCCCCTGGGTGTGCAAAGGTGCCTTGTGGGTGCAGTCCTGGGCGCAGGCCAGGTGGTCCTCGCACCGCCGATCTGACCTCACCCCATCCTCTCCAGCTGTGCCAGGCCAGCCCTGGGGCCCAGTCATCCTGCAGCAGCGAGCCCTCTCCCTTGGGCAGCGCCCCCAACAATGACAGCGGGGTGGACATGCCAGGGACGGGGCCTGGAAGCTTGGGAGACCTGACAGCGCTGGATGACACGCCCCCGGGGGCCGACACCTCAGCCCTGGCCGCCCCTTCCGCCGGCGGCCTGCAGCTGCGCCAACACATGACCGCCATGCACCGGCTAGAGCAGCTCAAGAGGGAGAAGCTCAAGTCACTTAAAGATTCCTGCTCGTGGGCCGGGCCGGCTCCACACCCCCGGAACCCCAAGCTGCCTCCCCTCCCGGGAAGTGGTGAGTGGAGGTCCTGGTGTGTGGGCTGGGTGGGGGGTAGGGGGACAGAGCCTGGGGCAGCACCACCAGGTTCATGCCCATCGAGCGCTGTGTGTCCTCTCACTGGCCACAATAGAGTGGATCTTACCAGCCCCTTGCACAGACTAGGAAACTGAGGCTCAGAGAGATGAAGGGCCTCACTTAAACCAAGGGCAGAGCTGAGACCTAGCCCAGGCTTGAGTGGCTGCAGAGCCCATGCTCTTTCAACTACACCATGCTGCACCCTACAACCCAAACACAGGCACACCCTGCTCACACCATCCTCGTCCTCATGATTCATTCGGCCTCTTACCGGGCACCTGTGTGGGCACCGTGGCAAAGGCCCTGGGCAGGAGTGATAGAGTCTCACTCCTGTGCTTAGAGGGAGCATTCAGTTGAAGGCCATGCCACCAGATGCACAGTCACCCGCAGAATGAGCCAAACAGCACGGAGGTAGAGCTGTGTCAGGGAGAGAGAAAGCATGTCCACTAGGGAAGGGCAGGGAGGACTTCCTGGAGGAGGCAGCCTTGTGTTCAGCCTCAGGAGGTGTTGGCCAAGTTTTGAGATGGAAGGCAGTTTCACCAAACACTTCTCGGGTGCTGACCCTGTGCCAGGCCGTGCACCAGCCACTGGGGCACTTACCCTCCAGGCTCCCTCGGGGACTGACGGCCAGTGTGGACCACAGTGTGGGCTAGTGGGACCTGAACACGGGGATGCACCACCAGCTCTTCCCTAAGCAAGGACTTGTTGACTCAGCTGTGAGGGAACTGCTAGCAGATGGCCTTCACCTCTCCGCCTCCTGCAGAGATCGCCCGGGCCGCTGACAGCTGCCTCACCAAGGTCACCCTTCCCAGGGTGGCCTCCATCCAGGGACCGATCACTGCCAGAGTATAAGGGCTGTTTGAGGCCCAGAGCTCCCCAGGGGTCCGCCAAGGCTGCCGAAGGGCCTGTCACTGCTCACTTCTCCCTGCCCCCCTACCTCTTTCCTCCCTCCCGTGGGCATGGGTCTCAGCCCTCCCTACAGCAGCCTGCTCGCTCAGTCAGCCCTGTCCCAGGAGCCTGGCTGGCAGCCCCCCCAGAGGGTGAGGGTCAGGCCCTCCTGGGCTCTTCTCCAGAACTCAGTCCATGGCGAGGACACCGTCCACAGCTGGGAATGCAGAGCGCCAGCTGGATGGGAACTCAGGGCCAGCCGGGCAGTGGGAGAGCCACGCGGCATCCAGCCCTGACTCTGCTGCCCACGCTCTGCAAGGAGGGCCACGTTCGCCCACCTCTGCTCCTTACTGCTTCCACCAGAAACCATGGGCTGGGTGCCTGCCGGGCGCCAGGCGGGTCCCAGGGCTCCGGGCTGCAGCCTCGGCCTGGTCCAGGCGGGCAGGGCACTGCTCCCACCGCCCCGTGCTGACCTCTTTCCTTCCCCACAGGCTCCATCCTGGAAAACTTCGGCTGCGGTGGGGGCGGCAGGCCGCTGGGGCTGCTGCCC